TACGCTATCAAGATCTGGACACCCGAAAATGGAAAGACATATTGTGGTGAAGGTAAATCGCATCTATAAATATTCCATCAGGACTTACAATTGGCTTTTTTTCAGGTGGAGTGAATTATATCCGGCTCAACAATGGAGCGCGTGTGACGTTCTCGTCTTGTCCACTGAGCGAAAATGGAACTTCATTACAGCGAGGGCAAATACCATTTTTTCTCTACTCAATCGTGGAGACAGAAAAGGTTGACACGAGTCAAACGAAGGATGAGGTAGGGAACTCTCTGGTGCGGCCTACTGCACAAAATATAGATATCTACCTGAACAGGTAGCCGTTTTTGTGAGTAAGTTTAACAACATTTTCCCCATTTTAGGTCCACAAATCGTTCGTGCTCTTACTCCGCTTGCTCTCCAACAAAATTGGCGCATTTCTCGTCAATGGTCTCATTCCGCAGTGCGCAAGGTAGAATTTTGTTAAATCTAAAACAATTCGTCTATGGTTACTTGTTTAGATCTCTTATCTCACGTATTGCTGGGCATGTGATGGTGTTTATGGAGTTACATCCAATGAAAGCCATGGAAGTTAGTATCAGCCTCATTCCAGTATTTTCCAGCTCAGACACCTTCTTTGACAAGACCACTTGTTACTACAGGGTGTCCTAAAAATATGTGTACACCGTTCGATCGTTAATGTCTCCTCTCCTTAAGAGGACGTCTGCCTTCAAGGAACTTCAAGTGCCATTTTATAGTGCTGGCTTCAAGAATAAGGTTACAGAGCGAATCACCGTTCGTTCTACATTACTGTAGGGTTGCGGTAAGAATCTTCAGCTTCTTACACCGTATTTGTGGATTGATCTATTTTTAAAAAGTTTCCGAAAATTTGAGAAGTGGATGAACCTGGGTTTTCACGCGTGCTGATTTCATTGCTTAACTTATTACGAGTTTGTAGAGCTTTTTGGATGGCGTAATCACAATTTTAGAGGGTCAGTGATGGCTCCATACTGTAAATTCAAGTTGAAGCCGCCTACAATATACTTGGAGACGGACTAAATGCTTCCTAGGAAGAGAATATCAAGATCAAACAGTGTGTACATACTTTTGGGACACTCTTTTTATTCCCTCAGTCTAATAAAATTGTTGATGAAGCCCGTGATGTTATCGAGATGTTTTTAGATTGCTTGTGTTCTGGAGCAGCTGATTCCTATGGTGTCTAACGTAAACGCAACCGTAAAGGCTAGTACCATTAGTGAATCATTTGACCACAACTCCGAAATCTGTGAGGCAAAAACCACGCAAATTGTCGTCGAATGTCCGCATCCATATAAGACCAACAACGTCTACTCTGTGGTAAGCAAGTTTCCCCAGTTTACATGTGTCAGGTTCAAAGTTTTTATGTTTAGGTAGTGGGTTTTGACGACAGCGTCCACTTTCTCTGCCTGCAATTCTCTCCATCATGTGAAACTGCGCAAGCCGATGAC